AACACTTGAACCAGTGAAAATCAGGAATTAAATGAATTCCTTGAGGTTTAGTTATGATACAACTACATTGATGTTTTGGTTTCTTCATAATCTCAGCACTACAACTTTGGCACCAAACAATCTAAAAATTCAAAATTCAGATATTTAATTATTCACGTAAATTTTTTCCATGAATAAAGTACTAATACACACTAACCTTGTAACCAATTGGAGGCAGAATAAGGCAATTACAATGGCATTCTGGAGGCAAACAATGCCAATTACACAGCTTTATGAAAAACCAATATAACATCCAAGAACTCGGCAACCGAGGACAATACAATTATTATTACATCTTGAAAAACCAATATAAAATTCAAATCACATTGAAATTATGAATGACCAATATTTCTGCTAGATGACTGTATATAATCAAGTAAAGAAACCTAGAAAAACTGCCCAAAAAAAAAACCACTTATACAATTACTGGAAAAACATTACCACCATCAAATTTTCAAAACATAAGCAACCCAACAATGGATCACTACAAAAAAAACCCCACCTATAAGACCAACAACAACAACAATGAAAATGTTTAAGGATGCCTATACCTCATCGCAGCATAACCAAGGATGCCAATTTTCCTTGTGGACATGGTGTTTTCGGTGGTGGATTGTTGCGTCGCCGCTGGCTCCATAAATACTTACGATAAATATTTTACACCGAAAGCCAAAAATTCAAAATCAACCATAAATACAAACAATTAATTACAAAAATCAATTCAAAAAAAAATTATGTGATTTTGAATTAGTGAAGTGTGCGTTCTATGTGTGACCACACACATAAGAAAGAAACGAAGCACTATTTTTTTTGGGTAAGTAAAAAACAAAGCACTATTGTTATCTAAAGAATCAAAGAATGGTAAATCAAAAACTTTGGAGTAAAACTAAAACACGGAAGGAAAATGGGAAAATAAACCCAAAGGAAAAGAAATGCAGCCATCATCAAACAGTAAATTGAGGTGCAGAGAATCAGGTTGTTCACCGTATAATTTAATTTAGCATTCATTTAGTAACTAAGCAATTAGAATCTCCATTAAGCAAGTCGAGACAAAAACAATTAATCAAAGATTCGGATCCACAACATTGTTTAATGCATTTTTGTCATGAATAAATAATCAAATTAAATAAAATGTAGACTCCCCCAAAACTATAAACAAACATGAATAGAATTTACCCAATAATAAAATCTATGTTTGACAATAAAAAACCAAAATTTAGATATAACCACAAATGGGTTATAGTAAGAGTTAGACATGGTACTCAAAATTTGAATATGTTGATCATCAAGTGAGGGAAGATTGCTATCACTAAATTGTTTACTATAGGAATATGCGGAGGTCCCCTACTCTGTCTCCAAGTTAACTTTCTCGTTTATCCCCCTCTTTTAGCTAGCTAGTGCTATATAGCTTTCAACTATCATCCTACATGTATTCTTTTTTTGATTAGTGCAACAACACAACATTCTTATTGAACCCTGGGAAAACTCACATAATTAATTGATTGAGACCAATTCTTATTAAACTCTTTTCCTCTATGTTTCAAAGAGGCACCACTTGAACAATTGTGCCTTCCTTTTTCCAACCTCTAACGCATTGACTGAAATAACTGAAATAACAATGCTTCATTAGGAACACATTCACCTGAAAGAATTGGAGATATCATATCAACAACCTAAATTCTTGTGGTATAACAACCCAGAAACAAACTGAAAATACAACATTTAGAAGCAAATGAATACGTAAAACGGTATATCAAGGCATTGTAAATGGAAGAATTACAACTAAATGAGATGCAGTATATATATTATATGTAAATCAAAGAGTGATGGGTTGCCTAAGATGTAGTAGTGCAACATTTGCACAAAAAAAATTCAACTTTTGAAGCGTACAATAAATAGGAATTGCATGAAAAAGTCAAAAAATTACAAGCCCTAGTTTATTCCATGCCACTATATAAAGAATGAACAAAAAGAAAAAAAAACCAAGGTAATAAAGATGTTGCAAAGTGCAGAAAAAAAAATCCATGCCACTTGTTCTATCCCTAGCATAGTTCAAATAACAGGCTAGTGAACGAATTTCTTCGAAAAGACCCAACATTCAACTAAAATAATCCAAAATAGCAAAACCCTATGCTATTAAAGTAACACCCAACAAAACCCCAACATCCAATTTCATCAAAAAACCAAACAAATTATGAAATTAAACCCCAATCGCAATCAATATAAACCTAACATTCAAGTTCATTTCCATAACTACTCTAACATTCAATCTAAATACCACAAATAACTATAACATTCAATCAAAACCCTACAATTCTATTTCATGAAAATAACCCAAATTTGAAATGTGCAAACATGGTTTCATGAAAAATTCCAAATTGAAAACCCTAACATCAATTGCTCAAAACTTAACAACCAATTAGAAAATATAACATTCAATTTCCTACAAAACACCCAAGTTAACACCCAATTTGAAAAAAATTTAAATAAACAACTAAAGAAATTGATATGTTATTATAAGCAGCCAAGCACACAACAAAACAATTCTTTTAAAAAAATATCAAAAAAGGAGAGCTAATTTAATGAAGAATTTTAATTTAAAACTATATCCTCCACATAAACATGCTCAAAAATAATATCAAGAAGGGACAACATTACCTTTGTAAAGATGGTGGTTCCTACTTTCATTGCTCATCTTTTTCATTAGTTTCTATACGCCAAACGTAGCAAAACACAATGACATTAAAAAGAAGAAGAAGAAGAAGAAATTACTACAAATGAACATGCACGCAACATAACTTACATTGGAGTAGGCCATAAAAGAATAACCAAACACAAATATGAAATTTTTAGACTGCACAAACACACAACAGAAAAAATGAAAAAATAAAACAGAAGTTCAAGACTGAAAATAGGAAAATAAATGGATAGATGAAAAATGAAACTGAAAAACATGGACAGGAAATAAAAATTAGAGAGATGAACAATTAGTGAAAAATCAATACTCAGTGAAGCAATACTACAAACACCTGATGTTCGAATTATCTTTTGCTTTGGCATTACACAGAAACAAAGTGACCATTATAGAAAGTGGGTGGTGGTCGATGGTGGTGATCTAAATGGCTCTCTGAAGATGAAAAGTTGATAAGGGAGGTGACAGTTGGTCTTTGAGAGAGAAGACAATACATAGAAAGAAGGAGAGAAGAGGTGAACAAAGAGTGGGGTTGGATTGCTTATAGGGGTTTGATTTGTGTGTGTGTGTCATGAGATAGAGACACAGACACAGAGAGAGAGAGAGAGAGGGGGGGAGGGAAGGAGGTACTTGGGTGACATTTGCTAATTGAGCCATGGCAGAGAAGCGATCGGTGAGAGAGTGAGAGAAAAGGATATAAGGGGCCTGAGTTGGGTCTTTATCCACAGAGGAGAGAGTTTGGCGTGGGCTGGAGTGCTCGGGGTGCCGTGTCACCTCTATCTTATTAATATAGATGAGATAGGGTGAAAGAGTTGAAATAAGAGATAGGAGTCTTAAAAAATTTTGGCATGAGGATTGTCAGATCAATAATTATCAAGGGATCTAAGGCACAAAAAAATAAAGACAAAGAAATTTAGTTATTTTATTATATAGATGTGTGTACATGTGTATGTATACTGACAAAAGAAGTAAATTTTGCATGAATAAAGTGCCTTCAGATTATAAGGGAATGCAGTGATGATGCACCACATGTTTGAAAAGGATTGTGAGATTGCATCTTAGATTTGATTCTCTCTCTCTCTCTCTCTCTCTCTCTCTCTCTCTCTCTCTCTCTCTCTTTTGTAGTCGATTGAGTGATAATGTTTGACTATTCAAAAGTGATAATAGTTGACTGTTGGTGGTAATGGGATTGTGACTTGTCATGTAACCACCTTAATATGAAAACGCAGTTAATTAGATGAGTCTAAGGTATTGTTAGGATGTATACGTTGCGTATGATGTGTAATACATATGAAAATTCTTCTAGTCAATTTTGTTAAAAAAAATTCTTCATTTATAAAATCTATCAGTGGATAACAGTGAAAGATTCAAAAAATGGAGAAGGTGTTCTTGAAGATATAATAAATTACATGGTAAAAACATGTGTCCTTGAAAATATAATACATTACAGGATAAAAACATTCGTCAGTGCAATTAAGGAGAAATACAACATGAAATATTAATGTTATTTCAGACAAACAAAGGGTCAAAGATTATGGTTGAAAATTTCCTATAAAGAAATTCATGTTTTCTATATAGGTTTTTCTTTGATGACCACACCACTTAGTCAAAGATGAAACTCCACTCTGGATAACCACCATCCTCTTGAGTTTATCCATGAAATATAACATAGGACTAAGTAGTCCAATACAAAACAATCGTTTGTCTTTGTTTATGAACATATGATTCCTTTCTATTAATTTATTCCTATACCTCCATGACGTAACTATTTATCATGCAGAGGCCTTCTATAAGCCCCGTGGTCACTCCAAAATCACAAATATATTCCTTCAAAACTAGAGAGAAAACAATCATGCAGATTCTCCTTTCTCGGGTGGCAAACATCTGGTTGTGTACTTCCTCAAAGTTTGACACTTGAACACAGCCTCTCCTCGCAGATTGACACATGAAAATACACACTCTCTCCCTATCGAACCCATTTAGCCTCAAAGCTCGACACTCTGGAATCTACAGAAATATCAATTGTTGGCCATTTTACATACTTAAGGGCGAAGTATCCAAATAGCGCTTCTCATTTCCTTTGATTAACATGTATCATACTAAGTGCAAACACGCAGCAAAGAAGCTCTAGCTGTACCCTTGTCCACCAACCTTATATTATCTAGAAACTTTGCTTTTACTACTACCATATTCATCTTAAAAGTGATCACTATTCTCCTTAGGCGGAGAGCGACAGAGAGAAAAAGAGAAGCTTGCGTGAAGTCCAACCATGGATAAGGGAGAGAGTGTGGCTGTAGTCATGGTAAAGGAAGGAAAGAAAGTGCCTGATAAGAGATCTTCAGTGGGGCGTTCGAGGAAAGGTTGCATGGGAGGCAAAGGAGGGCCTGAGAATGCTCTTTGCACTTTCAGAGCTGTTAGATAAAGAACATGGGGCAAATGGGTGGCCAAAATCCCCGAACCGAATTGGGGTGCCCGGCTTTGGCTCAGCACTTTCAATACCTCCCTCGAAGTCGCCACCGCTTATGACGATGCTGCCCGAACGCTCTATGGACCATCTGCAAAACTCAACTTACCTGATCAAAGGCCATTACCTTTTACAACTTTTTCGTCTATTCATGAACCTCTCAACCACAAAGGTCTCATGGGCAACCAAAGCACAAGCACGAGTTCCTCCTTGATCAACTACGAATCTAGCACTGATGGAAATACAAATAAAGGTGATGAAGTTTCACTGCTAGGAGACATAAACGTAGAGTGGGGGAGTTCAATTGCAAACATGGTAGATGTAGAACAGTGTCTAAATTGGCCAAAATTTTTGGGGGAGAATGGTTTTTGTTGGATTGGTGTTAGTAGATCAGGTGATTTGACCGACGTGGAAGAATTCGTTGATTGCAATGGATTTCAAGATCCATGGAGCTTGTGAACTTTTTTGTATATGACTTGGTGACCTGTAAAACTGCTAGAACCAATAGGCTCGTGTGTGCATATATGCATGCTTGACTTGGTGCTGATTTTTTTGAGTAATACTATTTGGACCTAAAATTCTGACTTAATTTGTTGACATAATAATGTGGTTTCAGGAGAACCATTTGATCAGCATTAAGTTTCAATATTTGATGACCCCCACAGTCAATCCAAAGATTATAGTGAATTAGGTCAGTAAGTTAGATCCCAATAGCATTGCTCGATTTTTTAAAAGTTTGGGGTGTGGGTTGCGACTTGCGAGTGAAAACTGTTCTGTGCTCTGTGCACTTCTAAAAAGTTAAAAAAACAAGTTTAAAGCTGATATCTCTCTCTCTCTCTCTCTCTCTCTCTCTCTCTCTCTCTCTCTTCTTTCCATTTGGAGTGTATAACTGTAAATGCACACATGTGATTTAAAGTCTCCTTTTCAAATTGGTTTTTGTTTGCTGGGGCTGGATCAAAATTGGAACGATAAAGAGAGATTAGCATGGTTCCTGTGTAAGGATGACACACACAAATTGAGAAATGGGGCTGGATCAAGCTCATGGCAGTGGCAGTTTTTTGTTGTCGGAGAGTTTCATATTGCAACTTGCATAGCCAATTTTTGGGGACCACAGAAGTATTCAGAATTTGCATCCTTTGAATTTGGATGAAATCTATTTGGTAGATGAAATTTGTGCGGTTTGGATCGTTACAACATTCGTCTTGAGAATTCATGCAAATTACACAAAGTTCAACGTCGTAGTTCGTTTGAATTATGAAAACTGGCCGTATAGTTTTGATTATGCGTGTGTTTTGGATCAGAATTCACCCTCTAAATTTTAGATCCAGACCAAAAGAAATTTAATATTGCATATCATAATCCAGCTCAAAAGAAATTCTTTTCAGACCTGAAGTGTTGGGGTTTAGTGTGTTGGCACAATTGCAGATGCAATGAAAACCACCTCTTTAGAATCCAACCCGCTTAATTAGGTAAAATTTTGACTGGATTGAAAATAGTTTCTTTGGTACCTAGCCTTGTGTTTTTTTTTCTTTGGAAAATTGTTAAATTGCATTGAGACATCTGTAGGGTGAACAATCCATGACTTTATGATTTATATATTATTAATGTGGTTAATTGAAAAATTGGACAATTAATTGCACTCCATAAAACTCCGCCTATGAAGTTTTGTGCGCGATCTGTCCCAAGTCCAGATAAAGAAGGAGAGTTGTGTTAGCTAGTTGACAGCAATCATAAAAATTGTTTGGTCAAACATGAACATGAATCCAATGGATATTCGCGTAAATACTAGGACATTCACCATAAGCGATGTATTGCACCTGCCTCCGGGTGTTTTAGAAAGTGGGTTAGACGAGCCACATTTTAATCGCCTGGATGCAGTGAAAAATTTGTGTAAACCTCTAATATTTTAATTTATTTTAATGGATGCCAGTTAACGATAATTAGGACAAGTTATGTCATAGATGTGATAGGAACGGGTTAGGGAGAAATCTGATGGGACACCTTGTGAATTTGATAAGTTAGGAGGGGGAAAGTGTAATTTTCTTGGTAGCGAAATTCTACTACAGAATGGAGTATAAGTGGCGATGTGCGAGGTTGAGATAATTTGGATGTGGTGCAGGAATAAGGGGATGGTAGTGTAAGGAGTGAAAACCTGGACTAGGAAGGCAAGAGGCAATTCTGGAGGCTTTTGTCAATTGGCCGGTTTCTTTGTTGTCGGTGGGCCAGATTGGAAACCGATCGATAGGCTTGAGCTTTGGTTGACCGACTTAACTCGGTTTTGTGTTCTTGAGTCTTTCCACAGCCCTAGCTTGTGCTAGGAGTATAAATACCCTTCAATTCCTTTACTCTCCGTCTCTGAAACCGTAAGCACCTCATATATATATATATCATATATATATATATATATATATATATATATATATATATATATATCACACATAAAAGAGGGAGACAAATCAAGAAATTAGGGGGGATATTTTTGAGCTAGGATTTAGTAACACAGTGTTTCTAGTCATTTGAAAACTAATCTAAGCTATGATTTCTTTTTTGATTCCTTATCAATGAGGCATATCATTTATATTTTGGGATCTCATAATAAACCTATGTTCTATATCCCAAAGTTTATTTATGTTCATTGCATTATCGACTTGGGTAAATAGATGTGATTTGTTATCCGGACATGGTATGATACATAACATGTTTTTTGTGATTTTGATGTTATTATTAGTTTTGCATGAATATGATATGTTTTAAAACTAAGGATTTACATTCGTTTATATAATATATATTGTAAATGCAATGGATTCCGCAAAGCGATTTGTTGTGATGGAATATATATATTGTTGTAGGAGGGGAAACTCGATGTGTATCTTCCCTCACGATTATACACATGGAACAATAGATGTTATACCTAAAGGGGGGCAGTGAATAGGTTTTTCAATCTTAGTTCAATTGATTACCAATTAAAACTTAAACCACCACAATTACATCTTCTCACAAAGATATAACAATTATGGCAGTAGCTTTATTTTGATTTTCTTTGTTTTGATGCATCTTTGTGCATGTTTTTTTCTTATTTATGTTTATCTTGAAAATTTCAAAAACATTAGAAAAGAAAAATCCAACAAGATTTTCTTTTGTTTGTTTTTCCTTATTCCATGATCATGGTAATTCACTAGTTTGCATTGAAATTGTTTCATTCTTAACTCAAAGTTGAAATGTGCATTGATATGAGTCATATTAGGAAAGAGAGAACTTTGAGCTTGGATAGTGTTTACCTTTGAAAAATTCAAAACTAAGTAATGGGAAAAAGAAAGCTAATCCTCCACCCATTCCCCAACCTAACCCGAGTTTTAGGAAAGAAAAACAAGTATGGGTGACTAGGGGGACTTTGAGAAACACACCATCTCAACTAAGTTGGAGGCCCCGAAGCAAGGTTATTGCTCCTACAAATTAGGAGAGGTGAGACTATAGACCTAGGTGATGTTCAATGCATTTCATTGAACACCCTAGGGTCATACGTTTTGTACATATTTCTATGAAAAAAAAATACAAAAACATTGAAATTTGAAAAAATAATAAAAAAAAGAACAAAAGAAACAGTAAATTTCAAAAAGAGTTTTGATGTCAAGTTTGATATTTATTTTTGGCCGCATTTGGCTCTTTTCTCATAATTGGCCTTTGACATTTTTTAAGGTATTGGGGTTTAACTAATCTTTAGCCATGTGTCACCTATCACCAATACTTAAGAGTCATTTAAGATCATCAATAGTTCAAACCAATTAATCTTAGGGGTAAAAGAAACTTTGGACACTCTAGCCTGTGGTCCATGTGAAGATGATGCATGGTTATGCTTTGACTCACATGACCTTGCTGAAAAGGCCAGTGTGCAAGCTTAAGAGGTCCATTTATGGATTCAAGCAAGCATCTAGGCCTTGGAACATTCGTTTTAATTAAACTATTAAATCTTATGGTTTTAATCAATATGCTCGAATGAGTCATATGTGTATAAAAATAATGACAAAAACGTTGTGGTGTTCATAGTGCTTTATGTGGATGATATCTTTCTCATCGAAAACGATGTGGGGATGGTATCTTCTTTTAAGTATAGTGAACCAATTAGTTTGATATGAAAGATTTGGGAGAAACTAGCCATATCCTTAGGATCAAGCTTATGCAAGATCACAAGGATAAGAAGTTAAGCTTTTCTTAGGCTACCAATATATATTGATACCATTCTAGCCCATTTTAGCATGTAAAATTGTAAGAAGAAATTTCTTCATTTCAGACATGGAGTTTCTCTGTCAAATGACTAGTGTCCTGGGACACCAAAAGAGAAAGACCATGAAGATGGTTCTTTGTGCTTCACCAGTGGGAAGTCTCATGTATGTTATGCATTGCACTAGACCTGATATTTGTTTTGTCGTTGTCATAGTTAGTTGATATCAGTCTAACCTTAGGCAAGAACATTGGACTACAGTAAAATATATTCTTAAGTACCTGAAAACAATGAGAGATTATATGTTAGTTTACCAAATAGATAGTCTAGTACCCACTGGGTACATAGACTCCAATTTTTAGTCAGATAAAGATTCTAGGAAGTTTACCTCAGTATATATGTTTACTCTAAGAGGTGGAGCCAAAAATTGGAAGCGTATCAAGCAATCTTGTATTCATGATTCCACCATGGAGATGGAATACATGGTAGCATCTGAGGCAACCAAAGAGATAGTTTGGTTGAGAAACTTCCATTTTAGATTTAGAAGTGGTACCTTCAATAAGATCAACTATTTCACTTTATTTTGACAATAGCTAGACGGTTTCTACTTCAAAAGAGCCGCAAACCCATAAGAAGGGAAAATACATTGAGGGCCTGTTTGTTTGAGGTATAAGGCGGTGGTATAAGGAAAATAGTATGTGGGGCCTATCTTATACCTTGTTTGTTTGGCATTTTTTACTCGATACTAATTTTTGGGTCATAGTACTGACCTGATGTGAACAGTAACTCTTATGTCTTGTATATGGTGCTAAACAATACCACCTACCCAGTGGTATAATATTCTTGGTATAAATTTCATGGAGGTATAATAGAGAAAAAAAACTCAAATGCCCTCATGTACAATGCCTCATATAAGATTATAAGGTTACAATTGTCTTTTTATTCTATTAGTTGCAATTTTTGACTTTTTTAAGTAGGTATTACACAGATGATATTTGTGACAAACAAACAAGGGGAAGGATAGGATTATAGTTTAAGACCGGGTATAAAATCTTATACCATTGGATAGGAGTGGAAAGGATATAAAATCTTATACCACCTAAATCTTATACATCAAACAAACAAGCCCTGAGTGTAAGTATCACCTTAAACAAGACATCATGGGAAGAGGTCATGTAATGGTAACCAAGATTGCATAAACAAACAACCTGACAGATTCCTTCACCAAGAGCTTACTAGC